AGGAAAAATTTCTTAACAGTGAGGGTGACAGAGCCCTGGAACAGGCTGCCCAGAGAGGTTGTGGAGTCTCCTTCTCTGGAGATCTTCAAAACCCGCTTGGACGCGGTCCTGTGCCACGTGCTCTACGTGACCCTGCCTGTGCAGGGGGGTTGGACTAGATGACCTCTAGAGGTCCCTTCCAACCTTAAGCATTCTATGATTCTATGAAACCAGGAATGCTTCTGTTTCAAAGGTTTACAGACACTTGGCAAATGCTCCCAACATGCCTAAGGTTGACCAGGAAGTTGTTAGTTGATAGTTACCCAGAAATTATCTCTCTACTCAATTAATATTGTTTCTTAGGAAATTTGTATTTCCATACAACTCAAAAACAACACTTTCTAATTATTATTTACAAAATCGTAGTTAGTCTAGAACTGTTTTTAAGTCTGAATGTCAAACTTCTTTTACTTCAAGCAAATACAAATCTGCAGGGAAACTGCAGGACCACAGTCCGTTGGGGTGTCCGTGCCCTAGCACGGTAGCATCTGAAAGCACTACAAAAATACAGGCCAGGAGAGAAAGTGGAAGCAATCCATAGGAGGTCCTTGGCAGGAGACAAAGCAAACCCGGACCACAACACAAGAGAGGTCTCATCTCCAGGTTTCCAGCTCTCTTGGGTCTTGAGATCTGCTACTAGCATCTGCTGATACCCTCTTAGCCAACCTAGGAGGACCACAGTTGTCCACATTAAGAAAATAAAACAAGCTGGAAAGGCGCCCTTCGGAAACCCTCTACACGTCTTGCACAGCACGGATGCATTAAGCTGCCCCAGTAGGTAGTGAGGAACTTATACCATTAGGATCACAGGAAAATGCAAGTTGAAAAAGACCTCAAGAGGTCATAAATCTAATTATAATGCTTCTGAATAATTATTAGCAAGTTATTAGCAACAACAAATCAGAACATCTCAAGTTTTAAACACAAGTTCCTGCAAAAATCACTTAACAGACACAGCTCAAAAAGCTGGGTCACAGGAGCTCTGCTCTCCTTTAAGAGCACCAAGATCAAAACTGTGATAGGAAAAGGCATCCACAGGAGCCTTAATAGCTTCTGCAGTGACATCCTCTTCTCCCCAAATGCCCTTTTTGGGAGAGGACAGGCATTCTCTGCAGAGTTCACAGCCAACCAGACAAGGGGTGTGAAAATCCTGGTTTGTGAGGGAAAGACTGACCATTTGCCTCAGCCACTTTAACAGGCCTGTGCATCATTTTAAACACTTAGAAGCATGTTTGAAGCTTCACTTCTCTTTTTAAGTAACAGCAAATAGTCAAGATCACAAATGAGTTACACTACTTCTCTGCAAACCCAGGCGCAAGTGCTTATTCAAAGTGCTGTATAGAGGTTTTGCTATAAACCCTGGGAAAAACAAGAACAAACAAAACAAAGCAAAAAAAAAAAAAACCCACAGAAGCAGGATGTGTCCCAAGAATTAACCAATGACAACAAATCTTAAAGGATAATAGATTCACAGGGTAAAACTCCTCCAACCAAAAGACTGACAAGCCTCATTTGAGAGACTCCTGAGATGGTGCGAGCAAATAAGAACCTCACCTGCACAAACAAGTCCAAGAGCACCCACCTTCACCTCGAGCTGGCACCCAAGACCTATGGGCATTCCCAAACCTACTACGTTTTCCCATTGATAGTGTAACAGGGCACATGCAGCCACATCCCACAGACCCCAGGGAAGCAGGAGTACTTAGTGCGAGCTCTTTGAATTCTGGAAGACTTGCTGAGGCACAGAGCTGATTGATAGAAGATGTGGTAGTTCCTCTCGTCCTCCGCCTGACAGGTGAGACACAAATCAATCAAGGGAACAACCCAAGTTCAAGTCGAGGCAGCTGGTTAGCAAGCCCAATGGGTGCTCATTCCTCTGGGATAAGTTCATTAAGGTGATCAACCAGACTGGCATGGGGATCATTAGGAAAAAATGCAAAGAACCAAGTCCCGCCATGAAAATAAAGAAGCTTGGTCCATCAGGGAAGTTACAACTTGCTTCTGAGTGTGCAGTGTGGCTTTAAACAGCATGCTGCACTGCATTTTCAATTTAATGCACAAAGCCATAGAGCCTCAGCCTTTTATATTCACATTTTGGCCCACATAGATGGCAGAGAACGTTTGCTATTCACCCATGCATTTCTCTTTGAAGGATAACTGTGCTGCTAGCAGATGGATCAGCTTGTTTTAAGTTCTGCCTTGACCTTCAATATGAGAAAGCGTGAGATTATCAGCGGGATTGACAGCGGGATTGACCGTTACATGATGTATCTGCCCACAGTAATACAAGTTGGGAAGTGATGTCTTGCATTAATCCTGTACAACCAAATCACAGAGTTGCTGTTGGGCAGGCGTGGAGATGAAAAAGTTGGAGGAAAGCCAGACTGACTTCTCAGATGCACTTGTCCTGACACACAGGGTTATCTGCAAAACTAGGGAGCTCAGGTAACTTATACATTTGAAAGGAGGAATTATATGAAATACCAAATACTTCAGGAAGAGTTAAAAAACATAAGCAGGAAGATTTTTTGCTGTTATCTCAGAATTTAATTTAGAGTCCAAAGCCAACACACATGCAACTTTTCTTCAGCAAGGGGATTTTTTTTTAATCCAAATGAAAGACCCACCCTATTACACTGAAAAAGCAGAGAGCCATAAAGAAAGAAAGAAAGAAAAAAAAAAGCACATCTCCTCACCTGGGACACAACTCTTGATTTTTCCAAGAGATAGGTCCTCATGTTTGCGCCAATGATATGGTATCTTTTATCAAAGCCAATCTGAATGTATTTCCCAAAGCGGCTGCTGTTGTCATTCCTTGTTGTTTTAGCATTTCCAATTGTCTGTATGATACAAAATTAAACATTAAAAAAGACAGCCCTCTTTCTATGTTTGTACATTAACTCTGAAACAAAGATTTGGTTTTCCGTAGCCAATAAATAAATCACCTCTACATAAATAGCATGGGAGGACTGCAGAAAACCCCCATCCTGGCCAAGCAAAGGCAGAACCTGAGCCCTGATGGCAGTCATTGCAAACATACAATAGGTTGCAAAGCCGTATCCAAGCGCCTAACCGCAATAGCCACACTGACATCTCAAGACAGCTGTACTTCCTCAAAGTTGCCTTTCACAATGAGTAACTTCCTTATTTCCCGCCAACTTAGCCCAGTCAAGGACTGGTCAAGGACACCCCCATGTCCCTGTCCTCCACATTTCCCCCTTTTTCTTTAGATTAAATGTCCCCAAGAAGCTAGCCAGCCTTGAGGTGTCAGATTCGGATTATGTGACAAGGCAGTTAACAAACGTGATATTAAGGCGCGCAAACAGGTCCAAGCGATCATTAAACCAACTACAAGCAACAGTCCCCATAGTAACAACATTAATAGCGATTTCACCAGCGATTTTATCCATCCCCCGATTCCAAACAAGTCAGTTAACCCATCAAGTCCGAAAAACCCAACATCTTTTGTTACTTTCTCC